AAATAAATGAGGACAGGGTGTTTTATTACTTATCAAGCCAATAACTGCATTTTCAATTCCCATACTCTGACTTTTCAGTACCCGTCTCTTGTTTTGGACAAACTACATGAACATTTTTATCATCATTTTTGAAAATGTCTGAGCAAAAACTTTTGTAAGAGGTACAGCAGGTTTTTTTTTCTAAACTGAGATTTGACTACATGTGAAGAGCTGTTGGGTTATCACTTACAGACTACAGTGTTTCAAAGTGCTCATCAGCAGAAATAAAGATGTTTTTAACTGTTTTCATCTCTTTGCCATCTCTCCTGAAACCAACTTCTGGTTTCTGTCCGTGAGGCTGACACTCTGTCTACTTTTAAGACCAGATTGAAGACTTTCCTTTTTGATAAATCCTATAGTTAGAGTTGGTTTGAGATGCTCATCCTTTGTCTGGTTCCTTCCACTGCTGCTCAGAATGAGTGACTGCAGGTGAAACTTTGATGCAGCACACTGGTGCACTCCTTAGACGTCTAAAAAGTGTCATTTTATAACGCAGTGAATGTTTTCTATTATGACAGAAATGATCTGACTGTGATTAGATTTAGAATTTGAGTTTTTGATTTGTTCAGTGCTCTGAGATTTTATATGTAAAAGACTAAATTATCACCACACTGAAGCCCAAAAGGAGATTTTTTTTCCATTCTGTTGCTAAACAAACTCCTGGCAGCATTTGGACGTGAAGAGTTTGAATATATTTGTGCTGCAGACGTTGTTCTGCCTCTTTGTTTTAAAGCACCTGTAAACTCACCTGTAAAGCTTGAGCCAGTTTGAACTCGTAGTCCTGCCTGACTCCAGAGTCAACCTCCACGATTCTTTGCTCCTGTCGGTGCCGAGACTCACGCATCTCCTGAACAGAACGAAAAATCAACAGTAAGGTTTTTTCCACCTTTGATGCATCAAATGAAACCAACAACAGACTCAGAGTGATACAGCTACAGGTATTTTCTTTTGACTCATCTTTGGTTTCATTCTCCTTTATTTAGGGGTGTAAGAAAATATCGATACACTGAAATATCATGATATTTCATTTCCCAATACTGTATTGATATTCTAAAGCCCTGTATCGATTTTTAATTAAGGTCTAAAACGTCAACTTTCCTGTCTTCGTTCATTTTTATGTTGTAGTTCTGCCTCTGACCACTAGTTGGCAGCAGTGAGCCAGCCATTTGGCTCCTCTACCTCTGGAGCGCCAGAGAGTAAGAGAGCATTAGCATTGTGAGTAAACACTAGCTTCATGCTCCGATAGCTGAATCTGAGCGGAAAAGACTGACGCCCTCTGCCTTCTAAGCTGAGGTAAGGTTACAAACAGTTATGGTGCGTTCACACCGAACGCGATTTCAGCGTCAGGAGCAGCAGGTTTACATGCAAAGTCTATGGTGGACGCGCTTCAAGCAACGTCGGGAAGTTCTGCGGTGCCTCAAGCGCGATTAGAGCAGCGCGATTTGAGCAGCGCGATTA